CTATATATTTTCGGAAAGCTTATTGTATGAATTTTAAAATTTTGTTAGTATTTTTTTTATGGACACTGTAGTTCGAAATGTGCACAACAATGTGCTTTTTTGGTCAAAAGTGTCGTCTTGAAAACTGTCTACCAGTTGCAATTTTACAGGCAGCAGCTCAAATTTCACTACTTCAAGTTTATGCATAAATTAACACCCAGGCTAGTTGTCTGTATGATTGTTGTAACACTGTTCAACCAAAAACAATGCCCGACGGCGTTTTGAAGATAAACACATTGTCAATCTTTTGTGAAAATTTCAAAACAAAAGGTCAAAGCGTCTAGGAGCTATTTTTTTTTAGATTTCTGGGATGTGCACTAAAAAGAAGCTGAGATAATTGCTAATTTGCATAAAAATTTACTCAGTAAGAAGTTTGCTAATGCTTATAATTAAAATGGCTGTAACAGTTCCAAATTTAAATGTATTATCGTTTTGTTAAAAGTTAAATATAGTGCATAATATGGAGATCCCGTCATTTCTTTTTTTCACCATGTTTCTTTTTTATTATTTATGTACAGCCTTGCTAAATCTTGCTAAGCATTCAAATGAGATAACGTTTGCACCTGTTATCTATATTTTAAAATCGTTTTTTGAGTATCTTCCACTATTCACAATTCTACAAAATTTTAACAGTCTATAGCCAAGACTATTTGGATAATAAAAAGCAAAAAAAAAAGAAATTCTCTCCCAAGTGCCCACGAACCTGCATCTCTACTTTAATTGCTTATACTCAGGAACAGCTTTTAATTCATTCACATGAGCTGATATAGTCAGTGCTACTTACACCAAGGCGTGTCTCACAAGTGTGACCATGGATTGCTTTACATATTCTTATTGTAACCCTTGATTTGTTAGTGTCAATGCACATGTAATGTCACAGAGCATAATTACGTTTATGATGGAATCCTTGTTTGTATCAGTATCTGCCAGTCAGTTAATAACAATAAAAGTTCTTGCAGCAAAATCATTATTACTGGTGGATCTCTCTTAGAATTTTCTTCTTGCTAATTTATAATTTCAGCTGTAGTGAGTCAATCTCCACTTGCTGTCACTTAAAGTTTTCTTTCAGTGATGTGATCTCCTCAACAATTGAAATTGAACACCCGCAGGTATTCCCTACACACCACAGGTATTTCCATCCACACACACAGGTGTACTCAGGTTTTCTGTATGTTATTGCTGGTGCTGTATTGACATTACTCTTATATGATCCTCCTACTTACAGGGCTGTTGTTGATACCAGTGAATCAGGTGATTTATCATCATCCACAGTTCTTACTAATTATCGTGATTGTTTGCAATTTGCAACATTTAGTCAAACTGGTAAGTGATATTTTATTTGTTACTTTTCAATATGGTCAATTTACTGAATATAACCAGATTTCTATTTTTGTTCAAGTATTAGACAGGATAGAAAAAATTGGTCTCTATAAATGTAACTTGCTAATACCAACTATGTGTTGAAGTCCTTCAGTTAGTTTGGCCTTAGAACCCATTTCTCATGCTTGTCTTATCTGTGCTATTATAGATATGTTGAATTACTCTGTGAATATCTATGATGAAGGTAATGTGCTCTGTATAGTAACAAATTCTGGATCACATGGTACCCACGTAGCTTGCATCGCAGCAGCCAATTTTCCTGAAGACCCTGAACGCAATGGTGTTGCACCGGGTGCACAGGTTGTCAGTATCAAAATTGGTGATTCTAGGTTGGGATCTATGGAGACTGGAAGTGCATTGGTTAGAGCTGTAAGTCACTCTCTATCATGTCATGTCAATATCACTATAATGTTTAGATCTCATTCTTTATGCTGTTCAGAAAATATCACTATATACAATTAATATTATTATAATGTTAATAATATCGCTCACTATCTTAAAAAAAATGCCCATCTAAGAATCACATTTTCCACTCAAGGTTATCCCAATTGCATTTAAATACCTTACTTCATCAAAAAATGACCATATGTAAAACACATTTTTATGTGTAGAAATTTGTCAAATTTGTCAAGCATTTGTCAAATCCTACATGATATTTTGATGTTACCATGACACTATGACCCTTGTTTGTTTCATTCGATTTCATGCATAATGCAGCATCTCACAGTGAACAGATAATAGTCTATTAGGCTAGAACTATTTCTTACTGTAGTAAGGAGTGGCCATGGATATTTTAAGAATGTATCTAATGGAAGTGTATGTAAACAAACGACTACATTGTATTCTTGATCATTAAATGTCTAATTTTTCCACATCTTTTTATTCTTGGTATGCAGATGATTGAAGTTATCAACAAGAGATGTGATCTTGTTAATTTCAGTTATGGTGAAGCCTGTCATTGGCCGAACACAGGGTATGTAACCATGGCAATGTTGTCAATGTCTTTTCATCACAAACAATAATATTAATAATGATATCTTTATTACCGGGTACACCGTAATGAATAATGATAATTCATCTTAAGTTGAAAATGTAGAATACATGTATTATTACATAGGATTTCTTGATAATGTTTTTTTAAATTACTGACAATATTCTTTGAAAGTTGATTTCTTTTATGAATAAATTACAGACTTGTTGTTGGATGTACCTTGAATGTATGTCAATGTTGTTTTGCTGCAGAAATATGTTTTGTTTGTGATTAGTTGTTATAAAAACAACTAAGATAACCCTCTATGCATCTATTTGATAAAACAACTAAGATAACCCTCTATGCATCTATTTGATAAAACAACTAAGATAACCCTCCATGCATCTATTTGATAAAACAACTAAGATAACCCTCTATGCATCTATTTGATAAAACAACTAAAATAACCCTCTATGCATCTATTTGATAAAACACCAAGTGTGTGCAGATAATTGTTTGACTTTTTGTAACGTGAACTCCTGAAAATCTGCAATCTTTGTACAAATTTGAATAAATATGAGCTGTATGTGAATCATGCATGTATTTTGAATAAGTCTGCATCATTACTGATGTAATCAAATAACATATCACATGCACTTGATACCTGCAAATCACCTATCTCTAAACTGATGCTATGCAAATTAGTTGCATAATTAGTTCAATCTACTTGTATATTGAAGGATTCTAATAAACCATTTTAATGATGTGAATAATACCTATACCTGGATGAGATTCTAGAGATGAAATTCAAATTACTTTGATTATTTAATCAATTTTTGTAAATTGTTTCTCATGGTGGAACAAGACTGAAGAATTGAAAAAAATATATTTGATTATTGACTCTCAAAGGTACTGGTCTTATTAAGACTTGTACAGTTAAATTTGTTCAAATGCTGACATATACTAATTTCTTTATCAATAGGCGTGTTTGTGATGTCATCACTGAAGCTGTTGATAAATATGGGGTAATTTTTGTGTCATCAGCAGGTAATAATGGCCCGGCTTTATCCACTGTAGGATGTCCTGGAGGCACTGTATCCAGTGTTATAGGTAATTAACAATATCAGTGGATTTTATGACGTCATTGCAGCAGATTATTCGCGATAATGTATCCCATTGTTGAGCATGAAGGCCCCATGACATGGGTACAATGTTGTTTTCGAAAACAAATAAAGGAGAAACTATTTTAAAAGGGAGAAAATGTTAGATAAGTATTTCATACTAAAATCGGCATCAAATAAAATAGTCCATTGCCAATAACAGCGGAGTTCAATATCAAAATCATACAATTTTGTGAGGGCCTCGTCATATGCTCTGAATACTTAAGCTCGCTGGGTTGAAGCGTTCCTAGTACGCTTCTAGATTCCGCAACTGATGCCGCTGTCCAGGTGGCCTCAAGATTAGGTCACCCTGTCGTGTTGATGAAGTAAGGTTAACAGCGACGATCTTGCATAGCATAGCGTAGTGTAAGGCCGCAGTGGACATCGCTCACACCTCATACATATATGTCACATGAAGTGAGCTTTCGCTTTTCTGGGTCGTTATTGTTTAAATATATCCGGACAGCGTTGTCCACTGTAGGATGTCCTCGAGGCACTGTATCCAGTGTTATAGGTAAATATAGCATATAATGGTCTAGCTTTTCCACTGTATGATTTTTTTTGTGGCATTAAAGGT